GTGAGAAGAGAGATGGATGATATCCAGCGCCAGGTTGAATGGAGGAGCTCAGAGGAGCCCCATTCGCGCTACCAAATGCAGTGATGCTCAGCGTGCAATTAGCTGCACACCACGGTCTTCCGAGAAAAAAATGAGGATGGGGGAAAATCACATGAAATCCCCTCCTCTCTGCCCTCCCCAGCACTCACTCAACCTTGGAAAGGAGAGTCATTCTGAATCCCTGAAAGTCAAAGTCTCAATGCCCATCGGAGCTCCCCTTCTATCCCCACCAAAGGAGAAAAAAAAAAAAAAAAGGATTAGAGCAGGGTGTTTCTTGTAAATGTGGTGCACAAATCACCCAAGGGGGACTTTTCACATGTATCATCAGTGCCCTCCTTCAGAACAGCTTCTCCCACCCTCTCATCTCTTATACCCAACCACACAGCAAATAAAGGATAATTCATCGGCCTGAGATGAGCCTGACGTCGAGCACTTGTAATAGAGGCCCATGAGAGTGTCTGTCTGTCTGCCCATGAGAGACAGATAGGCAGGAGACAAGGGAGGTTGTCTTGTTTCTACTCCAAGAACCACTGATATGTGTTAATTGATAAGCGCTTAGTGTCAAGGAATTAAAATCCCGCAGAGGAAGAAGAGGTCTTGCTTACCAGTAATGGGTGTAAATCAGTCTAAGAGGTGATGCAGGGCACAGATTGTGGGGTTTCTCACTGACATTTAATATAGATAAATTCTGTTACTTTCCAGGTAGTCCTGGTGCAGCACTGACTTGAACCCTGAGCATCTTGTAACTGGCCTGTCTGCTCTTTGAGGAGCCCAAGAAACTCTCACAGAACTCATAATTTTGGGTTAAAAAAAAAAAAAAAGAAGAAAAAAATAACTTTGAATGATGATGGTGGCAACCACAGACAACTCCTGGGTGTGCAGCTGTCTTCATAAATTTAGAGATCAGAAAGCATGATTCTGTGACTCCAATCTGTTCTTCAATGACTCCAATCTACTTTTCAGTGTAACGGGTTGTTACTGCACAGCCTACAGTGATTGTGCCACAAGAATTGCAAACCAGCTCTTGGTGTAAGTGGGAGCTGGCTCTGAAGCCTGATGACAAACACTTCACACAGTGTCTCCCTGAATATTGCAGCAATTTACAGCTCCTGCCAAAGCTGCTTGGTACTAGAGTAGGTGAGACCCTTCAAGCCATTGTATCTTGGGTTTTTTTTAAGGGGTTTGCTTTCTTTTTGCTCATTGAAAAGTCTGATGGCCAAATTATAATTAAGCCTCTACCCCACTGTTATATCAATTATCTGGGAAAAGATTTAGTACTTCCTCTACCTGCCTATTTTTCTTCTCCACTGCCCTCCCGTATGTTGTGCCACCCAGATGTGTCTCCTACACACACCCCCATATTTGTGGCCCAGAGGGTGTGTTGACCATGCACAATGAGCAACTACTGATTAAGAATGGCAATTTTCAGTCCGCTTATTTCCTCGCTGGAACTGCAATTTCTTTCTGTCGTTTGGACAGGAGAAGCACAGCCCAAACTACTCACAGGCTCCTCGTGTACTCAGGACAGGATTCCTCCTGCCCTGGAAGGGATGAACTTACACACAGGAGAAGTGCAAATTGGCACGACAGTTACGCAGCACTTGCCCTCCTGGGTTGGAATAACTTGCCCAGGCACTCAAGGTGGCAGCACTTGCCCTCCTGGGTGGGAATAACGGTTGGAATAACTTGCCCAGGCACTCAAGGTGTCTTCAGGTGCAAGTAATGAATGAAGGGCGGCCAGTTCTCAGGTGGAAAGTGGCAGGGATTTCACTGCGTGCAATTTTGAGCACCGTATTCATGAGGACATGCTGCTCCTTGGCTTCCAGGCTGCTTTAAAAACTGGCATTTCTGTTCCGAAGCTTTTGTGGTGCTCTCACCAGGAGCTGCTGGACAGCAAGGGGGGACAATCAGCACTCTCCAAATGGGTGGATACGTAACAAAACCCCATTTAAGCTGTTGTCACGCTGCCAGATCCACCTTCCACATCCAAAAAATGAACAGGACAACTAATATCCTCCTCTTTGCTCAGGGAGGTGCCAAACAAGAGCCATGCTCTTTCCACTCCGAATTAAGAGGAATATTTGTCCCTCACCAGACACTCAGGTTGTGTTCTCTGGGACACACAGGCTGCCTGTAAGAGCCAAGCATTTTCAGTCTGTCGGCTCAGGGCTGTCAGCACCAAAAGACCTATAATATCCTCCTCTTTGCTCAGGGAGGTGCCAAGTACTAGCCATGCTCTTTCCACTCCGAATTAAGAGGAATATTTGTCCCTCACCAGACACTCAGGTTGTGTTCTCTGGGACACACAGGCTGCCTGTAAGAGCCAAGCATTTTCAGTCTGTCGGCTCAGGGCTGTCAGCACCAAAAGACCATCCCTTCCAGGGGAAACCATCGCTATCCGGACCTAAAAAGAAAGGGCAACGCTCTACCTCAGCACAAACCCAAACCCTGCGACGCTTCCCCTATTGCCACCAGCGCCAGCACCATGATCTGCTGCATTTCTTCACATACACAAATAAAAAACAGACCAGGTTGTTGCCCACCCAGCTGGGCAATGAAGAAGATCTGCCTACTGGCCATAAAAACACGCTGACTGCCTATGGGGGATGTCGGGAAAAGGGCCAGTTGTACTAAGAATAGATTTCTGATGAGACCCCCTTGGTAAGTTTATGACAGAATTGTACAAACGTGGAGAATAAATCACTTACCTTAAGAGTAAAATGAGAAGAAAGATGCAGTGTGCTGGGAACTGACTCAGTCCAGGTGATTACCCAGCTAAAAGGCAGCAGACACACTTTAGAAGGAGGTGAGAGGGATCCCTTCTCCCCATTCTGAGAGCTCTTCGAATCATAGAATGGTTAGTGTTGGAAGGGACCTTAAAGATCTTTGAGTTCCCACCCCCTGCCCTGGGCAGGGACACCTCCCACCAGACCAGTTTGCTCCAAGCCCCATCCAGCCTGGCCTTGAACCCCTCCAGGGATGGGGCAGCCACAGCTTCTCTGGGCAACCTGGGCCAGGCTCTCACCACCCTCACAGCAAAGAATTGCTTCCTGATATCCAATCTAAATCTCCCCTCCTCCAATTTAAAACTGTTAAAAATCTCCCCGCAGGTTCTCTCCAGGGGAGGACCATGAGGGTGGGGAGGACCTGCCCCGTGCCCCGGCTGAGCGAGCGGGGCAGGAGTGTGACCTCACACCAGAACCCAAAATGTTGGTGTTTCCCACACCGTGGCTCTGGCCAAGGGACAGAGGCTTTGCTCCCCGCTTCCAGAGGCTCTGCAGGATGAGCAGCCCCTGGCATCACCCCCCCAGTGCCAGACGGGGGGCACAGCCTTCCCACTGCTTCAGCTTCACCCCGGCTCCCCCAAAAGACAGGAGGGGCTGGCACATCACCCCTGTGAGAGGGGTGCTCGGGGTGACACCCTCAGCGGGGTTTACAGAACAAGCTCCGTCTACTTCAGCTGACAAAGTAAAGCCACAAGCTTTAATTCTCCCTCAAAACAGACCAACCGGGGAAGTGCATGATTCTGAGTGGCTTGGTGCAAATTTTTGCAAAGTAACAGACAAAAAAAAAATCACAATGATTCAAATTATACATACACGTAAAACAAAAGAAATTCAAGTTAAAACCAGGACTGGATTCTTATTAGCCCTAGAAACGATCCAAAAATATGTCAGGAAATAAATAAATCATTCTAATTTTCACCATAAAAGAGGGCGCTGCTCACTAATCCAAACGGTTTGGGTATTTGGAGAAGACAAAGGGGTTAGAGGAGGAATAGAAAGGAGAAAAGCATTCATAAGAGTGAACTGCAGGGTGCTGCAGGGCCATCCCTTCCCCACGTGTCCCACTGTGACTAGAGAAAGCTTTGAATCACTGCAAGGGGCCACATCAATTCCTTTTCAGCAGGATGCCATCATCTGCCCCACACTGGAGGGACTGTGCCCAGGTGAGACCAGCACGGTCTACTAGTTCAGCTGTCACTGCAGGGATTCTGAACCTCCACCATAATCCGTGGCCACCCTGGGGCAGAGGACAACAAGTAAGTTGGACTGGTCAGTCTAATTTATGACTAGGAGGGGAATTTATCCTAGAATCCGTCCGATAGGAAGACTTCTTAAAGCCACACCATCCTGGCTTCCACTGAGCTGTGCATCTCCGAGGAGGAGGCAGCCAGCACAAGGTGCCTCGTGCACCAGGCAGCCAGCGAGGGTGACGGCAAAAAAAATCCCAGGCCCTTTCAAATATCTCTTCCAGCATCTGCAAACCACAGGACACAAAGCAACAGCCCCATTTACAAAGGTGGTGTGACCTGTGCTCACCACTGGTATTTCTGATGCTTTGTCACCAAATTGGCCAAGGCCAATGGGATGAGGTTCAACAAGGCCAAGCGCCGGGTCATGCACTTGGGTCACACCAACCCCATAGATGCTACAGGCTGGGGGCCGAGTGGCTGGACCTGCCCAGCAGAAAAGGCCCTGGGGCTGTTAGTGGACTGCCGGCTGAAAAGGAGCCAGCAGTGTGCCCAGGTGGCCAAGGAGGCCACCAGCATCCTGCCTGTGTCAGGACCAGCGTGGCCAGCAGGAGCAGGGCAGTGATGGTGCCTCTGGACTGGGCACTGGTGAGGCCTCACCTCGAGGGCTGTGGTCAGTTCTGGGCCCCTCACTACAGGAAAGACATTGAGGGGCTGGAGCGTGTCCAGAGGAGAGCCACCAAGCTGGGGAGGGGTCTGCAGAACAAGTCATCCGAGGAGAGCCTGACGGATCTGGGCATGTTGAGTTTGGAGAAGAGGAGGCTGAGGGGAGACCTCCTTGCCCTCTACAGCTCCCTGAAAGGAGGGGGTAGAGAGGTGGGGGGTGGCCTCTTCTCCCAAGGGAATAATGCCAGGAGCAGAGGAAATGGTCTGAAGTTGGGGCAGGGGGGGTTTAGATGAGATATTGGGAAGAATGACTTTGCTGAGAGGGTGGTCAGGCCCTGGAACGGCCTGCCCAGGGAGGTGGTGGAGTCACCATCCCTGGGGGGATTTAAGACACGTGTAGAGGTGGCTCTTCAGGGCATGCTCTAGTGCCCGAGATTGTTGGGACTAGATTCGAGTGGCAGTGGTGTTATAACTGTATTTTTAATGGGATTTCACATTTAAGGCAGCATTTCAGTTCACCTCTAAGCCTGTAATGGCCCTTGCAAATCTGCTCAGCCAGCCAAGGGCAGAGGGTCCCAGGGGACGGCTCGAACAGAGGGGTTCTGCTCCCACAGAGCAGCGTGTGAGTACCAAGTGATGCTGCAGAGCAGACACTGCAGGGCCAGACACAGACACTTGCAAACTGGACCTGCTCCTGAGCTTCAAAAAAAAATAAAACCAAAAGCAAAGACTGCAAAGGGACCTCTCTCTCTCTTAAAAGGAGCCTGCGCTGAGGCAGGTACCACTGGAGGTCAGGAGCACTTCATGAATACACTTACCAAGGCAGGACTACTCACTATGCCCCATGGTTATCTTTGGTCTCACAAAACCTGTGAGTGCTAAAAGTTCCAGAGCAACCCAAGGATGAAATTCTGTTCCTCACCTCCTGGTCTGTAGCCAGGGGCCCAGTGCTGAGAAGCACCCTCATGTCGCCTTCACAAGTGCAGACTCTGACAGCGTCTCCTTCCCAGAGGAGATCCATTTAGATTTCTCCTTCCATTGTAGTCCTACCACCACTGAAATTTTGAAAAAAAAATTTTTGTCAAATGCTAGGATGCTCAGGACTGTATTTTGCCCCCAGTTTACACACCCACCCATCCTTTGCGCCCAATTTACACCACTATCCCCAGAGATGTGACTGGAACCAAATAAGGTACGTATGAAGCACTCAGCTGAGACTCCATGTACACACAGTTCTCTTCAGGTCTGGGGGAAAAAAAAGTCTGATTTGTTTGGATTTGGACATTTCATCCATGTCCACGGGAGACAAAGGGAAAGATCTCCTTCCCTCGCAAGCCACCTGAGCAGATCTTCCTGCAGGATATGAAGAGTTCCATCCCTGATTTCACCTTTAAAAGAGGGAAATGCAGTCCTCGGTCACCACCACCCTGCCACCAGACGCAAGGGGAACACTTCGCACAGGGGTCTCTGCTGCAGGAACAAAGAGCAAACAAGCAGCAGAAAGCTGGGAAAGACAGAGAAAAGCAGAAAGAGGCTAATTTGTATCATCCCAAAGACACAGAAGGAAACCTGAGGCCAAAGGGTTTGGACTAGTGGAGGAAGGAAGGTGACATAAGGTGACCACGCTGCTCAGCAGCGAAACCTTTGCAGCCCTCAGTGCTCATCTGGGAGCAGCCCGGTACCTCCATCAACACTGATCCCAGGCAGGGGAGAAAAACAAACCCAGAGAGCATTCCCAAAGAGACACAAGATCCCTCAAGGCCATTTCAACGACAGGAGCAAAACTCAAATATTTTTTTTCCTTTTTTTCCCAGCAGGGACGAGGCGACACCTTGCCCAGCTTAGTGCACACAGTTCTCCTCCTCTCCTCAGCAAGATGGCTTCTAGCTGACCGAGGTGCAGTTCAGCTCTGGGGGGTCCTGCCTGCTGGCCACCACCACCCCCTCGGGCCCGTCGGCGATGCTGGGCTCGCTGGAGCACTGCCGGTGGCTAAAGCTGGGGGGCAGGAGGCGGCACTTGTCGGGACTGTCCGACTCCTCGGCCACCATCCCTGTGTGCATCATGGAGGCCATGGCCAGGAGCTGAATATCCGAGTGAGCGTTGGCGACGGTGTGGCGACGGATGCTGCCGCATTTCTCCAGGTAGGCCTCACCCTCCTGCTCCGTCAGCGGCGTCAGGGCCATCTTGCTGGGCTGCCGGCTCGTCGGCACGTGAGACGGGTAATTCAGCACGCCAGGCTTAGGACGGGATCGGGAGTACCGCCTCTCTGGAAGAGAAACAGGAACGGTCAACTGGGCACAGACCAGGCGGCCTCTGAACTGCCAGGCTGGCCTCAGGGAACGGGGAGGACTCCGGGTGCAGCCAGAGAGTATCCCACCTCATCACCACCAGGCAACAGTCCGGTGCTCAACTGGTTCATAAGGCTGGGGTTGTTCAGCCTGGAGAAGAGAAGGCTCCGGGGTGACCTCATAACAGCCTTCCAATATCTGAAGGGAGCTACAGGAGAGCTGGGGAGGGACTCTTTGTCAGGGAGTGCAGTGACAGGACAAGGGGTAAATGTTTTGAATTGGAAGAGGGGAGATTTAGATGAGATACCAGAAAGAAACTCTTCCCTGTGAGGGTGGTGAGAGCCTGGCCCAGGTTGCCCAGAGAAGCTGTGGCTGCCCCATCCATGGAGGGGTTCAAGGCCAGGCTGGAGGGGGCTTGGAGCAACCTGGTCTGGTGGGAGGTGTCCCTGCCCAGGGCAGGGGGTTGGAACTTGATGATCTTTAAGGTTCCTTCCAACCCAACTCATTCTATGATTCATAGAGCTGGGGGTTTGGAAAGGAGGCCTGCCTCTCCCCCAGCAAGGAGATACCTCCCATCCTGCTGTAAGGCCACGGTGCTGCTGTTTGCGAGAGGACGGAGCCAAAAAGTAACAAGTCCAGCAAATGGACTTTCTTCAGCATCCTGATGGCCTCCTCTCTCACCCAGGGGGTAAGGACCAAGCAGGAGCCCTCACCCACAGGTTCACTAAAACCAGCAACACCAAAGTGGCACCAGTCCCCAAAAAAAGCATTCAGTGAGGACCTGAGTTGTCACCCCTTCCTCTGGAAAATTCCTCTCAGGAGATGCCGTTAGCTGGTGTCAACATGGAATTCCTGACGTTTACACTGCGCTGCCTCTCTAGCTGCCTCGGGAAAGGCGGTTCTGCCAGCACTATCCCATGGTACTTTTTAAAGATTATGGAAGAAAAAGAGCATTTCATCCACTTTAAAACATGTCTGCTTTGGGGCTAGACACTGGAAGCACCTGACATGCACAGCGACAGCCCACAGCGCCCCGGGGGAACGCACAGAAGAGGAAGGCAGCACTCGTGGAGCACGGGAGAAGGTGGTGACACAGAACTGATGGGTGCAGGGTCCACCACCTGCTTGGCAAAAACATTCAGGGTGAAAAACGCCGGGTTTGAAGCTCAAAGCCGAGGCGCAGACCCCAGTCCCGTACCACTGAGCACCATTTCAGTTTCTGACACCAAAAGCCAGAGCTCGTGCCGTGACCTGCTGTGACTCTGCCCCAGCAGCTCCAAGCGGACACTGCTCCTTTCCACCCACCACGCAGCATTGCCACGGGGTCTGTCTCCAGGGCAGCTGAGAGAGCTATTCCCTACCTCTCTCTCTGCTTCTCACCAACTTCCTTGAAGTGCAGGGTCTCACTTCCTGAAGTCGGGAGCCTTTAAACCATATAAAATGCTTCCAGCAAGACGGGAGAGGGTAAGAGAGAGAGCAGCAAAATGCAAAGCAAAGCACTTGTCCCTGAAGGTTACAAAGAGTTTTGAAAGCTTGCATCGGGAAGAAAAGCAGAAAGCAAACTCTATATTCTTGCAGGGAAGAAAGTGTGAGCAGCCAAAGCTCTACCGCTGGCAGCAGTCAGGCTATGACACTTCACCCCACTGCTGCCCGTAACGCCTTTATTCAGAACGGTTCATTTCATGCTTAAGGGTATGTGCAACTAACTTTTGAGGCTGGTTATGGTAACTACACTCCTTAGGTGTCATCTGCAGCTCAAGCCACGGCAAGCTGGAGGGCACTGGGAAAAAGTAATTTAGGGTGGGAGCCACAGCAGTGTGCTTTGGCTGTGCACCCCTCCTTCTAGCCCCATCAGCGGCAGCAGGCAGGAGTAGGCAGGAGCAGGAGCTGAGCATCCCAGCAGGTGACGGCATCGCACCCCTCCTTCTAGCCCCATCAGCAGCAGCGGGCAGGGCAGGAGCAGGAACAGGAACAGGCAGGAGCAGGTAGGGCAGCAGGTAGGGCAGCAGGCAGGGCAGCAGGCAGGGCAGGAGCAGGAGCAGGAACAGGCAGGGCAGCAGGCAGGGCAGCAGGCAGGAGCAGGAGCAGGCAGGAGAAGGAGCTGAGCATCCCAGCAGGTGACGGCATCCTCAAATGCCACGCACTGCACTGATGTTCTGCTGCTGCCCACGCCTGGGTCTTGGGAAGTTACCCTGGCATAGACAGGATGGAAATAGCATGAGCAGGAGCAGGCAGGAGAAGGAGCTGAGCATCCCAGCAGGTGACGGCATCCTCAAATGCCACGCACTGCACTGATGTTCTGCTGCTGCCCACGCCTGGGTCTTGGGAAGTTACCCTGGCATAGACAGGATGGAAATAGCACGAGTGTCATTAGCAGTGGCTGCTTGTCCACCTTCACCAGGACTTACCCGGGTTTCCTCACTTCTGACTTCCAAGAACAAAGTGAAGTATTGATACCAAAAGAGAGAAGCCAGTGGTGGGGGCAAGTTATATACTTGCAACATGAGAGACCCAGGCTAAGATTTTTAAATGCATTTGGGTGCCCATCTCCTGTCGACACCGGGAAGCCAGACATCTTTAAGAGCTGTCCAGCTCTTGGGCTGAGAGCTCAGTAGCCTCTTGAGGTAGCAGTTCATTGCACTCCCCCATCCCACGATTTAACATTTACATTAAGTCTATCCTGCAATGGCTTCAGCTGTGCAGAGCTGTCTGAGCTAACTAGAGAGGTCTGAGGAGATTAAACTGAACTGAGCCGTGCAAAACACTGCAGATTTTTCAGACTACACAGCTGCAGATTTTGCAGGCAAAGGCTGAATCTTTATTCTTCTATTTTCCTATACATTAAATATTAAATCCTGCTTCATTTAAAGAGGGACAGTTTGCCGCACTTCTCAGAAGGCCAAGATACACAGAAAAAGAAAAATCACGGCCATGGCCTGATGTTCACTTAATAGATAAATAAAAATATTCCCATGAGGTAGAAGTGCCAGTTTTGCGTGTAAACTTTCAGTGCTGCAGAAAGAGCCAAGCCTGATGACCCGAGAGATTAAAGTCCACTAAGAGCAAGCATAATATAGGAAGCAATAATATAAAATTATTCCTGCCCATGAACTGGCAAAGAGAACCTGAGAGCCTTTTCTGTCATGTCTGCTGTAGTAAAGTGGTCCACTGGTGTCATGAGTTACATCAACTGCCGCGGCAGTCTGCAGCCCAGCCGGTCCGTACCCATCATCTCACAGGCTTACACACAACTTGTGTACCTGTTGGCACGTGCATGAACATACGCTCCCTGACCAGCAGCCTGCACAGAGCTGATGCACATGTCAGGGTTTCAAAGTCTGACTTCGTTCAGCTCTCGGATATAAACAGAACCTGGATGGGGAGACTGTAAAAACCTGCTGGTATCAAAGGAAACACCAGCAGTAATTCACAAGACCATGCTCTTGCCCTCAGACCTCTATCAGCATGGAAACAGGAACATTACACCACAAAAATACATCAGAGGCCCTCAGTCTGACTGTAGTGAAGTAACTGCCACAACCCAGACCCCTGCAACAAGCTGAGCCCAGAATGGAGAAGAGGTTGCAAACCCACCCGTGAACCTGGACAGACCCATGGGCAGCGTGTGCTTGTGGTGCCACAGCAGGGCTGCTGTTTGCCTAAACCATGAGCTGCCTTCCAGGGAGAGCATGTTTATGCTAAAAGTAGAATCACAGAATCATAGAATCATCGAGGTTGGAAGGGACCTTTATGATCATCTAGTCCAACCATCAACCTAACTCTGATAAAACCCATCACTAACCCATGTCTCTAAGCACTATGTCAGCCCGGCTTTTAAATCCCTCCAGGGATGGTGCCTCAACCCCTTCCCTGGGCAGCCCATTCCAAGGCTTCATAACCCTTTCCATGGAAACATTTTTCCTAATCTCCAATCTGAACCTCCCCTGGTGCAACTTGAGGCCATTTCCTCTTGTCCCATCGCCTGTTCCTTGGGAGAAGAGACCGACCCCCCCTGGCTACACCCTCAACAACACGAAGTAGATGCACATCCAGTCAGCACTCCCGTGGCATGTTTTTTAAATAGGCAAGCAATAGATAGCGGTTTATGTCCAGTGCATTCCTCAGTTTGGAGAAACTCAAGTAAACTCCTCTCCTCCCTTCTATTCTGTTACAGTCAAGCTGCTGCTCTCTGTCCCAGATATAGCAGCATTTCACCATACTTTTCTTGCTACCCTGATCCTTTGATAAGGGTGCTGCTCAGATGCTGTGCTTGAGATGCAGCTCAGTGTGAAACGCTGTAGCAGACAGGAGAAGAGTTAACCAAGTGACAGAAAAAGTCGGTTTTGAAAATTACTGAAAGTCCCCTCCAGCTCCCCTTAAAGCAGTCTTACCCACCAACCAGGACAACGCCAGCACTTCACAGGTGGACTTGGAAACCCAGCTGTTTAAGTATCTGGGTGCCTTTGATAACCTTCATCTGTGTCAATCCCTGACCATTAAACTTCACAGAAGTTGGGACAGGGGAGGGAGGAGGAAGGTGGCGCTGGTGTGAAACAAACTGAAGAGGTTAAAGGACAAAGTGCTAAAATTTTATCTGATGTAGCCACAGGAATTATCCAGCTTCACAGGATCACAGGAACAGTCAAGTATCCTGCTGTCACAGCAAAATGGGTAGGACTCCAGAGAAAGAACCACATGTGTGTTGGAAGCACATGTGACAGAGCTGGTGGCACTCAATGGAAGAAGTTAGCAGAATTCCTTGGTCTCCCCCTGTCAGCAAATGTCCTTCCTGAAGCTGTAGTTGTAGACATGGCGTACACATGACTGACCAGGTAGGGAAAGAGACAGATGGACAGGGAGGAATTTCTCAATGTTTATTCTCTTCAAGGAAAGGATGACCTGACTCTTTTGAGGAAAAAAATATCCAGAGATGATTTTTGTGCAACAAGATTAGAATCCTTCATGATGAGAATGAGCTAAAAATTAGGCTAAACTCTGGACATTCAATTATTGCTTTACTTTTCCCCCTTTACTTCCTTGGCCACAAAAAGACAGTCTCTTAAGAGAGTTGTCAAGCATAGTTTAACTAAAAATTTTATTTCTATTTGGGTGCATTATGGCCAGGAACATAAACTGGGAGTAGTTTTTAAGGGAGTTTTTTGCAAGCAAACTCAGCTCAGCAGTGACGTTAGGCTTAGTCCATGGGAGGAAGAGAGTGAATGTTTTACCTTCTCTATTCCCAATTTAAACCCTGTTTCTTAGACACCTGGATCCCTTCAGCGCACAGCATCCTTCCAAAGCAGGCTACAGCTAATTTACATGGGCAAAGCAAGACGGGTGGGAAGAGGAGAGCAGCTGGGTGTGCTGCTCTCTACGGCTCCCCTCTGCGAGCCGTCCTGTCCCCTTTCACACCCCCCCTGCACTCCCCTCACTCTAAATCAGGTTTAAGATACAGCAGCCTGTGGGCTGAAGCCTCATGTGCATTCGCAGCTGTGAACAAACACCTTCAGTCGTGTTCCTCAACACTTGTTCCTCTTGATGGCTCCACTCCAGAGCTCAGTTTGGCCTCTGTAGCATCTCTTCAGAACCCAAACGTACCCAAAGAGCAACAGTGCATTTCCAAAAAACTACTACAGGGGCTACCTACTGGCTTCCTCGCTGCTACAGGCTGCCCAGCGAGAGAAGGAACTGGTTCTGAGAAAGCAAAAAGGCGCCAGAAAGAGGGAGAGAGGAAGAGAGAGAAGTTTGATTAGAAGTGGGTGTTAAGGAGAAGAAACCACTGCCACAGCAGCACTTTGAAAATACCGAGATTATTTGCAGAGAAGTGCTGCTCTGCTGTCAACGTTGCACAACGTGAACACGAGTTCTTCCTTTCCTCCTACTCAGCACAGGGTGCAGCTGGGGCAAAAGACCACCTTGGAAATACACACAAATAAAGGCCAGCTAAAATCAAAGTAAATACAAAGATTTTAAGGCACATAAACTTTACAAGGACAGTTCGTGTCCTTTATTTTTTTTTTTCAGTGACACTAATGCTTTGTTCAGCTGGTGGAAATCCAGGATGGCCAGAACCCTCAGTACAGGTCAGGCAGCACCCTCTCAAACTATCCCAGCAGCATGCAGATGTCCACAAACAGCAGAACAATCAAATTTGTCAAGGCTCAACTTTTATGGGGAAACGTGGTCTAGATTCAGCCCCAGGATCTTCAAATCCATAATGCATACTGTATAACCCTGTTCACTTGCATAAAAGATATTGAATTTAATTGCCCAACTTCCACAACAACAAACCCCCTGAAGCATAGTTTGCCTAAAGTGATGCCATGAATTTGGCACAGATGATGAGAGTCCTGACAAACCCTTCTACCACAAGACCCTCTTTTCCCCCTACTCCTAAGGTGTAGCACAAGACAGGTTGTGTGTCTCTAGCCTTTGCTTCGATGCAAATTGTAGCAATCTGAAGCTTATAAAAACAGAGGCAGACCAGAGCTTTCTTCAATTGTTCTATTTAAATCTTCTTGACTATCAAGTTAGTCAAGTATGCCCATTTCTTACCTAGCCAATCTCTTCTGGCTGGCTGCACGTGTAAGCAGAGCTCCGGGATCAGGGATGGAGAGGTTTTCCACAGTAAGCATCCCCTTCCTGAAGTTAAGTGCCAGCTCTCTCACTTAGACCCATTTCTCCACAGTTTAAACCCAGATTATTATTTTTAAAGAGAGTCCCTCAGATGGAAGGAAGACTCCATGCAAAAAAAAAAAACCCAACCCTGCAATTCTTCAGAAATCCAACAGCTTTACTGTCTGTGAAGGCAGGCTGAGGCAGCAGCGAGCCTGGGAATCCAGGCATCCAGAGAGGGTTAGTGAGCAGGGAGAGACAGAGGGACCAGCAGCAGAGGACAGTACAGCCTCTCAGTGGGACACAAGCAGAACCTCAGGCATGGACCATAGGCACATCTCCAGAGAGAGGGGAGACTCTGCACGTGTGTGTGTGTGTGCACAGTGGTGAGGCAGGAATAGTTCACTGAATCATGGAAAATAAAAACCCAGTCACAGAGATCTATATTCAGAAACATACAGCACTGCCTCACATTAACCCTCACATGGGGTACACAACCTGTGTGCCCCAACAAGAGCTTCTGTACAATGCATGTGGTCTTACCAAGCAAGCAGGTGCTACTGGAGAAGCTGTGATCCTCACACAATCCCAAGTACGGTGATACCACCTGCTTGACCAGTTCTTCCAGCTGTAGGTAGCCCTCACTGGGGCCAGTAGGCTCATGGACACTCTGAAATTCAAACACAAAAAGTCAACATTAACCTTACGTAGTTTTGAGTAAGGCTTTTGAGTAAAGCCTGGGGTCTATCACATATCTCCACACTGGAATACCCCAACCATATCAGTAGAACATTCGGAGGAGCACAGCTGATAAGCCCAAATGGAGATTTGAGAGCCACTCAGGTCGACCTCCCTGTTCCAGTCACAGCCACAACCCAAGCAGCCAGCTGTCTTTTTTTTTGACCAAGGGATAGAGAAGCACAAGGTGCCTCATCACACTGAGGGTTTGCACACCTTGGGCAAAGCCCTGCTCTTTGCCGAGGCAGGACTGCAGGAAAAGCACCCTCCATAGCTGAGCTTACAGCTGTGAAGATGGTAGATAACACTAGCCAATTCAACAGTAATTTTAGAAACGGTTCACAGACTTGACTTCCTGTAAAACTTCAATCACTTTTCTTTCTCAAACGCATCACTTTGAGACCCTCTTTGCCCTCAAGATTCTTTTATTAAAATATTTCAGAACAGCGAGAACCCAGGCAGAAATACCAGCTTAGCCACTTTGCAATTTTGATTGCACTTCAGGAATTTTCACTCCCTGCCACTCACGATAAGGTATACAGCAGAAGAAATAAAAGTGAGATGAACCCCAGCAGCCACCTGTAACATGGTATTTTGCAGGACTGTCAGGCTGGGTGATACTGAAAGATAAAGCAGCTGGTATACGTGGCTGTATTTGGCATGCTTGGAAAATACTTTCTTGAGGTCTGGATAAAGAGGATAGTCCTCAGAAGGTCTGGGGTTTTTGGGAGAGGCCTTCAGAAAATGTATAGCATTTTGCCTTCTGCCAAAAGATATTCCTCTTCCCAAGGGGCTGGCATCGGGCAGGCAGCAGCCACAGCTCCTTCACACTCCACAGTCCGCTGTGAGGGACATTCGCCCCGTCGTTGCAAAGCTGAGAAATGAGAAGGACTAGGACACAGAGAAGCTGGGAGATGAAAATTTAGGTGAAAAAAAAGAGTCCTGATTCTATTCCTAGCTGGGGAGGAGAGGTACCAATAAAAATACAGACACCAAAGAGCAGAAGCCAGTCCTTCCATGGCAACATCCTTACCTGTTCCCAGGAAAGCTCAGGACATTCAAATTCCTACATTCCTACATTTACAGCTCACAAATAAGCACACACCACTTCCCCTCCATCACACCCTCCTCCGTTCCCCCTCTCCTTTCCAGGGTTTGTATTAGTTCAGTGAGGTCGAGATACCCAGGTGGAGTCAGACGAAGAAGAGCAGAGGCTCCCCACCTGCAGGATTAACAGCATCTGGACAATGGAAGCTGGGAGCTTTGTCCGGACCAGAGGAAGAATTTCTTCCAACTTTACTTTTAGCAAGACCAAGTCTCTGAAGCCAAGAAGAGCAATCTGACGGATAGTCAACTCCTGACCCTAAAAAACACAGAAGGCAAAATCCAAGAGTTGGTAAGGGAGCTGTGAGCGTCACACCCACACACGTACACAGGCAGAAAGGGTCTGTCCTGCCCACTGCTGCTGCTGCAAAGCACCCCCAGCTGCTCAGCCTGAGGATTCACTCCTCTTGGTCCCACTCGTTGGTCACTTCCCTCTCAGCCTCCATCCCACACGAGTTCTGAAATGAGTAACACCTCAGCTGAGACACCACTAGGTTTGTAGTGCAGCCAAAAATGGGCCGCACTACGCACTATGCACTAAGACTAATTAGTGGCCGCACTAAAACCCAACTGCCATCCAATTTAGTCACACTGCAGCCAAAAATGGGCTGCACTACGCACTAAGACTAATTAGTGGCCGCACTAAGACTACTTATTCGTAAAACCCAACTGCCATCCAATTTAGTCACAAACATCCAAAGCCCAGGATTGATGCAGCTCCTGCTTTTGCCACTCAGAGCTGAGAAACCAGAGAAGGTTTGGCAGAGAGTATTCCTTCACTAAGCCTATGTCTGGTCTGAGTCGGATCCTCTTTTTGCTCAACATCTGCATCTTGGACCTTGCTGATAACGACAAAAAAATCCACAATTCAGTCCATTACAGACTTTAGGATCTAGGGTCGGGCAAAGCTAGCGAGACTGCTTGTGCCAAACACCATTTCAAAAAGCAACAGCTCTGATTTCCACTGTAAGGCACTCTGCATCCTCCCAGTTACTTTTTTACATCAACAACACAAGTGAGCAGGCTTAGCAGATGGAGATGTTGTAATACTTCTCAGCACATTTAAACCCAGTTGGACTCCATTTGGCATTCTGGTGTTACCGCCTTTCCCTTTGCTGTGCTTAACATCCACATGACTTTCTCTTGCCCCACTGCAGCTTAACGGCTGAAATTCTCCTCCCAGCCCTGGCCAGCATTTTCCATCCTGAAGAGTTTCCCTTGTTCTTCCCAGGATGTTAATCTCTGCCCCACGGTCTGTTTGGGGAACTATTTTATGGTCTCCATAGCACACTCAACATGGTAAATATTTAGCTGGAAGGAATTAACAGCAGTTAATCATTAATTCATAATGGCTTTAATGTCATAATTAACAGCATCATCAATATGTAAATATGAATTAGAGCCAATATACTGGAGGGCAGCTAGGCCATAATAAAAGTATTTTGCTGTTTTTTGAACCATCACTGTGCGTTTAGAAGCATGGAGGTGTAGGAAAGACTGGTACCTATCTCTGAACTGTACTGCAGCAGCTGCACGCTTTTTATTTATATCACGCAGTTTAGTCCCGTTAACTTCATACCCCATTTCAACATGCAAACATCTCGCTGTGCCAAACAAAACAAGATTTGCTATTCTTTTTCCACACTAAGTAGTTACATCAACAGCTGCAACTATACAAAAACCAGTGACCTGTTTACACAGCTTCCCTCTGTACAGCAATTTAAGTAACTTGGCTGCTTAAAGGTCACATTTCTGCAACAGCTCTGAGGCCCTGGTGTAAACTTAGCTGAGATAGGAAGTGACTTCTAGTTACTGCCTCCAGCGACATACGCTCTCGCGTGTGGCTGCATGACTTTCATTCTGAATGGGCAGACACTGGGATCCCAGAAGAGCACAGCCAAGCCATCTCGGTGACATTTGCAGCAAACGATGGGGAACCAACAACAAATTGACTTTCACAGAATCACAGAATGCTACGGGGTTGGAAGGGACCTCTGGAGATCATCTCCTCCACCCCCCTGCCAGAGCAGGTCCACCCAGAGCAGGTCCCACAGGAACGTGTCCAGGGATCTGCCACCCTCACAGGAAAGAAGTTCCTCCTCATGTTTAGGGGGAACTTCCCATGTTCAAGTTTGTGCCCATTCCCTCTTGTCCTGTCCCTGGGGCACCACTGACAAAAGACTGACCCCATCCTCCTGACACCCTCCCTTTAAGTATTTATAGGTGTTGATCAGATCCCCCCTCCTCTCCAGACTACAAAGACCCAAGTCCCTCAGCCTCTCCTCACAAGAGAGATGCTCCAGGCCCCTCATCATCTCTGTAGCCCTCTGCTGTCCCCTCTCCAGCAGTTCCCTGTCCTTCTGGAACTGGGGAGCCCAGAACTGGTCCCAGTGCTCCAGATGGGGCCTCCCCAGGGCAGAGCAGAGGGGCAGGATGACCTCCCTCCACCTGCTGCTCACACTCTTCCTGATGCCCCCCAGGATGCCCTTGGCCTTCTTGGCCACAAGTGCACAAGGACTTTCCCACCTATCAGAGTAGCGCATGAAGGACTGAGACTGGGTGCAAGAGATCTGCTGGAGAAGCTCTCTTCAGACACGGTGACCCACCATAATTAGGTACACACAGTTCTCTATTTGTAGGAAGAGCCCAATCTTGTTCTTAGGGCACTGGCCTGGGATAAGAGCATTTCTTGCTGCACCAGCAACTCTCTCTGTTGCAGCCTAGGGCTGATAACTCACGGTCAAACTCTTGAGTGTATTTAGGTGGTTTAAATCCACACATTTGTGTAGAAATTAGGTGCCTACAAAGCTTTAAATATGCTGACTGTTACCTTTCAGTTCCTCATCTGTAAAACAGCAATACTTCCCTAACTTCACAGCTTGTGTGAAATATTTTTGAGTGACTCAGATATTGTGACAAACACAGTAAGAAAGTTATCGTCTCAAAGAACCTCGACATCCCAGAGTCACGTTTTCACCACTACCACCAAGTTACTTCCAAGAGCTGCACCCACTGTGCAGTAACTTTTGTTCAGTTTCTGATTAGAGACATTTAATAGCAAGGGAGTAGATTTTTTTCTGATGACTGGCAGAATTATTAGCATCAGTGGGTAGGACACACAGTTACCTGAGCTGTTTCCACAAACAGCCAAACCCCTGCTTAGATAGAGGAGGTCACTCCCTGACTGAGAATTAGTTACAAAAGGAGAAAAAGGGAGGATATTATAATTGTGCAGTTTTACCTGCCCAACACCTACCTGTAAGCATCTGCAGCAAGGAAAGAATAAAAATAAACACAGTAGAAAGGTTAGTGTCTGTCTTTACAGAAGGCCTTTCTCTTTTAGGAAATGCCAGCTTTAATAGGATTAGAGGAAAAGGTCAACCTTTGAGCTTTACCTGCTGCCTTTCAAACAAGGCAAGGGGAAAACAATTTTAAAAAGCTCTGGAAAGCATGTCTTGCGGAAGAGGCAAAAGTCAAGAGGAGCAGGCTAGAATTTCCAAGAACGTCAGTCTCCTCACGAGGTACATTTTTATTTTCCTCTGATGGAAAAGAAGATCAGAATAGGCTGGGGAGGTAACTGGACTGCTCATATGGAAACCCTGACTAAAACAACATTAAAAAATGATACAGCTCAACACTTCTGATGGGACACTCAGCTTTTAAAACACTGACTGTAAAAAGATCTTGCATAACGTTGTTCATTCTTCCCCTACCCATAGATCTGCTTGTCCCCTTATTACAGCTTTCAAAATCCCAGCAGAGGATTTTCCAAAGGTACAAGCAGAAGATAAGCACTCCAAAAGCAGCTAGAGTGAGTTCAACACATTTCCCCCTGATCTGAGCCTTCAGATTTGTCCCTCTGAAGACAAGTTGTCAGCGTTGTCATCTGTACCAACAGAGCCCCAGATACATAAAAATGGAAGAACTATGGAACAAATGGCCCAGAGCTTCAGTCTGGACAAGGTATATATAGTCTGACAGTTTCGGTGTTCAAGCTTAGCTAAGCACAGACAGAGAGGGCAGACAAATGGCAATAAATTCAGCCCAAAACACTGTGCTTGCCCAGTAGATTTTAGCAGTCCTTTGTACAGTTAATGCTGAATTGGGCAAACTCTACTTTCTCCCAGACCTGGTTTAAAGGTTTTGAGACCTCTTTAACCATTGGCCAACCAGTGCCGCTGCTAGAACAGAAAAGCAATTCCCATGTGCCATCAGCAGACATTACATTGCTTCACCTGACTGAAGACTGACTTATAATTAAGATTACCTGGACTGGGTAGAATATTGCCTGGAGTGTAGGAAGAGTCTCTGTGAAGTAGTGATCCCAGATTTCAGACAGGACATCAATGCGATCCTCACCTACAAGAAACAGAGATGGGGAGCAGAAGCTTTAGCGTCAGCGACGTTAAAATCAAGTTGCAAAGGACTGTGTGACCCCACGGCTCACAGTTAGCAGGCTCCACTAGCACGGGAGCCTCTGAAAACCAGCAGGTCACAACTGTTCTATTCTGGGTGAGGGAAACCATCAAGAGCTGAGCCCCCTCCAGTACCCTCCCACGCCCAAACACAGAGTCCAGACCCTGACCAGCCACAAAGCCACCACAGTCCTCTCAAACGTGGCACTTGGGAAAGTTCCCACATGAAATCCACTTGTGGCCACCCCTCATATGACTCTGACTTGAACAAACAACCCCAAATGTAAGTAGGAATTTAAAATTAAGCCAGGCTAAGTTATGCAACTTGTGATTCCTGTAACAGGAATACAAATGTGGTCAAAATCCCATTATTAACAAAAAATGCTCTACTGAACATAATTGTTTGAACAGACATTTTAAATTATGCTCATAGGCTTGACTTTCAGAGCTGTGTGTTCCTCAGCATTTGGACCCAAAACCTCTAAGTTCTTTAGGAGGTTTTTCCCATCCCAAACGCCAAAGGTTTACAATATCTTTTTTTCAAGTTTTAGAGACATTCCCCAGAAATTCCAGGTAAAAATAGAGACCCAGGTTTAATAACACAAGTTTCTGATGAAAGGACTTTCCAGAATACCTTCCACAGAGCCTCAGCTGGAGGTCCCAAGCAGTCAGGACTCAAGGAGCATGAATGGAAGAGACAGCTCACGACATGATGGCTCACGACAGCTTTGGGGGCTCAGACTCAAAGGGACTAAAGGCTCTACACAAGGAACTGGAACACACGTCAAACTGCGACTCAAAGGAGTCCTGAAGTGCTTCCCCCATTGGGAGACTCCCACCTGGGAGTCCCCGCTTGCCCACGGGTTGTGCTTAGGACACCCCAGAGAGCAGAGGGCCAGCAGGAGCAGCTCCTGCAGAGGTGTCCTTGGGAGCAGCGAGCCCAGCGACATCCACAGCGGGGCTCCCAGGGGGCCTTCACCGCGCCAGGTCCAACACCAGCTTCAAAACTGGAGCTGCAAACAAGCACCTACCCAACCCCCCCACACCAGCTACCCATTACCAGGAACTGCCAACTCTAAGTGAAAAAGACAACAGGAAACAGACTAATTGAGTGTTTAAATGTTTCCCTCCTCTGCCTCCTCCCCAGGCCTGCGACTAAACCTACACATTACGAAAGAAAGGCGCCCATGAGTCATCTCCCGCAGAGATGCCGGCCTGCACGGGCAACGAGACTATGGTGTCACTTCAAACCAGGGACAAAAAAAAACTGTGGCACAGGAAGGAGGGTTTGCTGTCTGCCTGGGAAACTTCACCCTACCCAAACTACTCCAGCAGCTGCAAAATACCCCCTGGGCGGCTCTCAGCTTGTCACAGATTGGAACTCAGTTTTCATAATGCTACAAGAGATACTGAGATAGTTTTAGATGAATACAGAAAACAAAACCTATGATAAGCTTCTGAAGAGCTGACAGCGGCAGGGAAGGCACCCGTAGCGGGGAAACCGTGTCCAGTTTTGGGCACCTCAACACAAGAGAGATCTGGAGGTGCTGGAGCAGGTGCAGAGGAGAGAAATGAAGCTGGTGAAGGGCCTGGAGCATAAATCTTATGAAGAGCCATTGAAGGAGCTGGGACTGTTTAGTTTGAGGAAGAGGAGGCTGAGGGGAGACCTCATCACTCTCTACAGCTACTTGAAAGGACATTGTAGAGGGGTTGGTGCTGGTCTCTTCTCACAGGTAATTGGCGATAGAACGAGAGGGAATGGCTTCAAGCTGCAACAGGGTGGGTTTAGAGTGACCATTGGGGAACAATTCTTCACAGAAAGAGTGGTCAGACCCTGGAAAATGCTGCCCAGGGAGGGGGCTGAGTCACCATCCCTGGATGTGTTTAAGAGTCATTTAGATGTGGTGTTGGGGGATATGGTGTAGGGGAGAACTTTGTAGAGTGGGGTTGATGGTTGGACTCGATGATCCCAAGGGTCTTTTCCAACCTGAATCATTCTATAATTCTATGAAAATGCAGGAATCTGCATTTTTCCCTCCCTCATGGGGCCAGTGCTGGAGCAGCCAGCAGCGAGCAGGAGGCTGACAACTGAAGCTTGGCAAGAGAAGTCACTTGCTGAAGAACAGCATGGAGGAATCCAGCACCAGCAATGACCTGAGATTATAAGTGTCTATTGTCAGTTAATGACCCAGATACAACAGGTCGGTTATTAGCAAGGGATCTTCCCTACAGGCTACGAAACTGGGTCACATCAAACAGCAGCCTAGTTTTGAATAAAGACCTGTGCTCCAGCCAGCTTGCTCTGCTTGAGCAAACTGTTAATAAACGTGACTAACTCCCCCCACGTCCAGCCCCGAGAGCCTCCATCCCAGGCTCCGCGCTGGTTTGAGCAGAACTCCAGTGTGATCGACCTCTCCCCTGAAGGACTTCATTCCCACTCAAGTGACTGCTTTGTCTTTGAATTTACACAAAGCCTGTTAGCTCAGCTCTCAAAAGCATGCCACCATAACCAAAATCACGCCTATACCGAGCTGCAAATCCCATCGAGAAATAAAAGGCAGAAGGTTGCTTTCAGCAGTTTTGCAACAGGATCCATGTCCAACCCAGAACTGCCTGGAGCCCAGGTTCAGCTGCCACAGGCGACCCACGTTCCTGCTGTCATGATGAAGACGTTGCTGGTGGGACTCAGGCACTGGAACGGCCTGCCCAGGGAGGTGGTGGAGTCACCATCCCATGAGGGATTTAAGAAATGTGTGGAGGTGGCACTTCAGGGCATGCTCTAGTGCCTGAGATTGTTGGGGGGTTTTTTTGTGTATGTATGGTTGGTCTCTATGATCTCAAAGGCTCCTTCCAACCAAGAAGATTCTGTGATTCTGAGTGCTGCAGCTACTCAAACAGCCCACCATCCCTTGAGCCTCACCAGGGCTGCTGCAGCCTGGCTCCTAAGAGGTTGTGTGACACCCTAAGGCAGCACCTGGAAGGGCTGTATGCTTTCCAGACATGCAAATCATCTTCTCTGACCAAGCATCAAAGCACAACTCCCAAAATGGGTTTCTTACTATACTTGCCTTCACACAGCTTAACCTTCTCCTCTATAAACAGCAAGCCTTTCGCAAGGAGCTGGTTCTGCCAAGAGAGAATAGAGAGAGACATGCATTTGCCTTTTCTGAGATTTCAAGTAAACATGGAAAAATAAAATAAAGTCTAGTCATACAGTAGTACTTTCTGCAGCACCGCCACCAGACCTGGTCTCACTGTGAGTGCTGTGCCTTCATTAACCCCTTCTTGTTCAGCCAGACAGAACACACACACAACAGACACAGCAGACCTGTCCTGGGTCACAGGGAGGGAGTCAAGAAGATAAAATGGTTCTTAACATAAGCGTGCAGCCACATATGCTATACCTCAGCCATATGATGGAGGTGATCAAAGGGCCAGATGCCACCAAAACGTCCCACTCTCTTCTTCCTTTGCCTGACTGCACAGTAAGCCAGTGCAGCTCCCTAACCCTTAGCTTTCTATTCCTATCTATTCTCTTTCTATGAGGCTTTTTCTTTTTTTTTGCTGTATTGAGCAGTTGGACCATCTCAGCATGCAGTCTCAAGCTCCAGAAGATGCAGGAGCTAGTCTTTCTAGATAAATATCATGGACCAGACAGATCAAGATCTCAATGTGCCTGCTTGCAGTTCAGGGCATCTAAATATCTGATAGGCTTTCTGTCCCAATTTCCCCAGATATAAGAATGGTGCAAAAATGCCCACCTTTTGGTCTCCCAACAGCATGAGGTGAATTCTGAAAATTTAGATTGGCCATTAGGGAACAATTTTTCACAGAAAGAGTGGTCAGATGCTGGAATAGGCTGCCCAGGGAGGAGGTTGAGTCACCATCCCTGAATGAGTTGAAGAGTCGTTTAGATGTGGTGTTGAGGGATATGGTGTAGGGGAGAACTTTGTAAAGTGGGGTTGATGGTTGAGACTCAGTGATCCCATGGGTCTTTTCCAGCCTGAATGATTCTATGAAAAGCACTGAGAATCCCAGGGAAAGGAGCTGATATCAGCACATAACCTTCTGTCTGTCTGGAAGGATTCAATACCAGGGTAGCGCACAATATTCAGACACCTCTCCCTCCCTCCCTCCCTCTCTCTTATGTTCATCCTCCAGCATTTGTTTTTAATGGGTAACCAGGTCAAAGTTGCACCTTTCAAGCTTCCATCAGCTGGGGAGCAAGGCACATCCTGATGGACACTGCCTGGACACCAGCGTGGCCTCCCAGTGAGCTGCTGTGCCACACACCTCCTGCTCTGGATGAGAGCTGCCTCCTGTGACCATGAGACCTGCCCCCTGATGATCTCTGGATGAGAGCTGCCTCCTGTGAGCATGTGCCAGGCCAGCTCATTAACAACACACCGTAACGGGGTAAGCCACCCCAGGCAGCGAGAGCAGCACACCTCCACATCCTCCCCACTGCAAGAAGCAATCTTAAACTGGGGACTGTCGAAGAGAATGACAAGAAGGAGATGTTGCTCTGTGACACTCTCCACCTGTACTTGGCCTCAAGAGTCCTACTTGTTAGCATCAGACATCACTGAAATGTGTTGAAAAGGAAGGTGTCTTCCTTAAATAGCACCTAATCAGACTCCAGAAGTCTTTTTCAAGCAGGTGGAGGCCAAGGGACTGAAGAGACCATCATACATCCTACCAGCAAGGAAACATCTCCGGATGCATGGTGGACATGTCTCCACCGGATATCCTGGTGGAGAATTTATATTCAGAAAGCTGTTGGGTGAGAAAATACTACTGAAATTAATAGCATTAGGGGCTGAATTCAAGGAACTCCTTTCGCTTCGGAATCTCACCTCATGCAAGGTGAGCTCTGAGACCCTTTGGGGCCGAGTGCCACTGCAGCACCAGAGAGAGTTTTTTCCATTGGCATCTTTGTCAATATTTCAGCAAAAAGGGCCTGGAAGAAAGAACAAGCCACACAAGCTCACCAGTTGTCTCACGGGCTATGGATAGCAGGGGTAACTTCACGAAAACTTTCACCTCATATCAAGACAAGACTGGATGGGCATCGTCTTCTTCACGGTGTGAAAGAAGTGCAGTGTTGCACAACAGAGAGGGAATGGGTACTTTTCCTTGGCTGTTGTCCCATCTCATGGCCACTTCATCCACATTAAAACACTAACTCATGTTTTGGCTTACTCATCTTAAATGAGCCAGATATAAGTACTTTTGAGACGCTGCTTAGAAAAAAATAACCAAAACCTGTATCCACTAACATGTATCCAGAGCTCAGCCATGACATGACGTAAGGAGGAATGGCCATCCAATTCACCAGTGGTAAGCTCTGTTAGTAGCAATAATGTTAAATATTGTATAGTGCATAAAAGGGAAAAATAATTAATGGTCATGTTCATAATCAAGATAATTTGGCCCTGCTAGCAGACGGGTTTTATTCAGAATTAACCCACAAAATATTTAGTAAGGTCTTATTCCCAAAATAATGTAGAATCCAGGCTCCCTTTAAATTAGTTACACAACAAAACCAGAGCATTTTAGGAGCAACATACGGGATGGAACTGTATTATTTGAACCGCCCACCCAAGTCACAAGACTTTGACCTTTAGTAGCTCCAGCAGAGCGCTAAAGCAACCCTATCCCTGCAGCACAGTCACGCTATAAACAGCTAAACCAGTCCTAGGAATTCCAGCACAGAAATCAGAGCTGACTTCAGCAGTCCTGTTTGTCAGAGGAACATGCTATTCTACCCACAGGTGACCACTTGGAAAGAGGAACCCAAAGCACTTTTGCATGTGACCTTCTGAACCTGCTCATAAACGGTATACAAATGACTTTCCTCAAGGGAACCTTGAGAAGCTGTGGATGCCAAAAGAATCGTAGAATGATTCAGGTTGGAAAAGACCCTTGGGATCATCGAGTCCAACCATCAACCCCACTCTACAAAGTTCTCCCCTACACCATATCCCCCAACACCACAGCTAAATGACTCTTAAACACATCCAGGGATGGTGACTCAACCACCTCCCTGGGCAGCCTGTTCCAGTCCCTGACCACTCTTTCTGTGAAGAATTGTTCCCCAATGGCCACTCTAAACCCACCCTGTTGCAGCTTGAAGCCATTCCCTCTTGTTCTATCGCCAATTACCTGTGAGAAGAGACCAGCACCAACCCCTCTACAATGTCCTTTCAAGTAGCTCTAGAGAGTGATGAGGTCTCCCCTCAGCCTCCTCTTCCTCAAACTAAACAGTCCCAGCTCCTTCAATGGCTCTTCATAAGATTTATGCTCCAGGCCCTTCACCAGTTTCGTTGCCGAACAGGGAAAGAACAGAGCTCCCCGGCATCACTGCAGACGGCGAGGCAGCCATCCCCCGGCCTCACAGACCCCCGGCTCTCACTTGGGTCTTTGCCGACTCCTTCCACAACGTGTGTGCACCCCACCAGGGTCAGTAGGAGAGGAGGGACCTCCAGCAGGACATGCACTGCTGAGGGCCTGGCAGCTCACGCCACCTCCATGACCTGTGGTATCTCACCCTGCTGACAACAGCTCACTCACTCTTAGCCAAAAACCATACATTTATTTGGGGGGAAAAAAAAGAGTCAACTTTCTGCAGTTTTTCTGGACTCTGGAATTAACCCCCCCCCAGTAAAATGATTTATTTTTTTTTCCGGCAGAAACCTATTTTCTGATTTATTCATCATCACCAGCATGACAAATGCCTACCAAAGGAAGCTGCAGGGAACAAAGGGAATTTGTCAGTCAGAAATTTTTAATGGCTGGGGGGAGCTTTGTCAAGGGCTCCGTCATGGAATCAGGGAATTGTCAGAGTTGGAAGGAACCTCTAGAGTCCATCCAGTCCAACCCCCCTGCCAAAGCAGGGTTGCCCAGAGCACATCACTCAGGAGCATCCAGGCGGGGCTTGAAGATCTCCAGAGAAGGGGACTCCACACCCTCCCTGGGCAGCCTCTGCCAGGGCTCTGCCACCCTCACCCCAAACAAGTTCTTCCTCACATTGGAGTGGAACTTCCCATGGTCCAGCTTGTGCCCGTTGCCCCTCGTCCTGTCACTGGGAACCCCTGGAAAGAGTCCGGCTCCATCCTCCTTCAACCCCCCCTTTAGATCCTTGGAAGCATTGATAAGGTCTCCCCTCAGCCTTCTCTTCTCCAGGCTCAAGAGCCGCAGCTCTCTCAGCCTTTCCTCATCAGGGAGATGCTCCAGTCCCTCCATCATCTTTGTTACCCTAAGCCCTCAGGGTGAGAGTTAGGGCTGAGAGGAAGAGAAAACCAGTCCCAGCAGAAGGGGGTTGCCAAAGCACTGAGAATCCCAGGGAAAGGAGCTGATATCAGCACATAACCTTCTGTCTGTCTGGAAGGATTCAATACCAGGGTAGCGCACAATATTCAGACACCTCTCCCTCCCTCCCTCCCTCTCTCTTATGTTCATCCTCCAGCATTTGTTTTTAATGGGTAACCAGGTCAAAGTTGCACCTTTCAAGCTTCCATCAGCTGGGGAGCAAGGCACATCCTGATGGACACTGCCTGGACACCAGCGTGGCCTCCCAGTGAGCTGCTGTGCCACACACCTCCTGCTCTGGATGAGAGCTGCCTCCTGTGAGCATGTGCCAGGCCAGCTCATTAACAACACACCGTAACGGGGTAAGCCACCCCAGGCAGCGAGAGCAGCACACCTCCACATCCTCCCCACTGCAAGAAGCAATCTTAAACTGGGGACTGTCGAAGAGAATGACAAGAAGGAGATGTTGCTCTGTGACACTCTCCACCTGTACTTGGCCTCAAGAGTCCTACTTGTTAGCATCAGACATCACTGAAATGTGTTGAAAAGGAAGGTGTCTTCCTTAAATAGCACCTAATCAGACTCCAGAAGTCTTTTTCAAGCAGGTGGAGGCCAAGGGACTGAAGAGACCATCATACATCCTACCAGCAAGGAAACATCTCCGGATGCATGGTGGACATGTCTCCACCGGATATCCTGGTGGAGAATTTATATTCAGAAAGCTGTTGGGTGAGAAAATACTACTGAAATTAATAGCATTAGGGGCTGAATTCAAGGAACTCCTTTCGCTTCGGAATCTCACCTCATGCAAGGTG